ACTTATGCCTTCACTTAGTATTTCTCAAACACACTTTAGCCCGCTTTACTAAGTTTACATAGCCTCTCATGAGACAGACTATGTCTGCTTTTGGCTTTGCTGATTATTTTTCCCCTCTCCAACTATAATTTCTTCAGTGCAAAAGTTTTAGGCTCCGTTTGGCAGTCCATGATATCATAAAATATCATAGGAAAATCCTGCAAATCTTTTTGGTGGACCACATTTATTATCATAAGTGAAGATTGTGTTTGGCTGGTCACACTATAACACCAAAAATCCACTACAATATGCAGAGAATTATCTAGCTTTATGATTATTCTGATTATCCGGATTTACATATTTCTTCTTATGATATAATGGACTACCAAACGGAGACTTAGGGAAAATTCCTGGAGCATACTGATATGGAAAGTTTTGAGCTGAACTGCTTTGAAATTGGGGGTGTTTAAGGGATAGTTTGCAGGAAAAAAATCTTGGCAATAAAGCCTTGCACATGATATTCCATGATATTCCATGATATTTGAATGGATATCAATCATATCTGATCAACAGATTCAAATTATCAGAGTAGACACTCTTCCTTATTTTTTTGTCTTGGCAACCAAGAGGCCTAAATTTCATTGGGATAGGATCCAGACCAGAAAATAAGTGCAATTATCCTTGTGCAAATTCATGCTGATCAACTAATATCAGAAATACCTCTCACAAAATACCTCAAGCTATTTACAAATTCTTCTCACATCAAACATGACTGCTAATATCAGCAGGGATAATCCAACCCAGAAAATGAAGCTCAAACAACCCCACTAAAGAATTGACTAGGTCAACTAAAATAACCAGTCCAGGGACATGCACCAGCACGCGCCAGTTTGCCGCTTGCCTGAAGTTGATATGACAAGATGGGAGTGCAAAAGAATTGGAACATGGCACTACCTATGTATCTATGTACCGCAGGTATCTCAAAATGTTTGGGTTTATAGAGGCTTGAGATGCCAGCACGTGACGAGATCAAAGCCGCCATACAGTGCCATAAGAATTAGGCTTGCGCATGTCGTCACAGGTCGTCACCAGCCCGACACAATTGTTTCGGTTGAAGAAGAAAATTAAAAAGAAAAGACAAAAAATAGACGAAAAACAAGCAGGAAATCAGGTGAGCCTCATTGGTTGAGGTGTTCCGTGAATCGATTTGAATCTTGAAGAAACTTTGCCACAGCTTCATCGGCTTTTCGGATGTTGAGGATCCTGTGGAGGTTTTCCGCTTTGAATCGAACCTTGAGGTGTCGAAGGTGTTTTCGGAGAGCCCTTCGTTGATTTTTGAACTTTGGACAGAAATTCATGAAGTGAAAGACTGTTTCCCTGGCTCCACAATGGGGGCAAAGTGGGTCAAGACTCCTGCAAATACGGAAGAGATGTTTTTTCAGTGCACAATGACCTGAATCCAATTGGTTGATCAACGAGGTAAATCCGATTGGTAGACCCGAGGGAGCTGGTCTTCTGGTCATCAGCTCATCCATTGCCATCCGGTGGACCTTCCAAAAGTTGCTTTTAATAGCAAGAGAGGGTGTGGAAGGGGACTCCAATGCCTCCTTGGCCAAATGATCTGCTAGTTCGTTGCCCAGTATGTCCTTGTGGCCTGGGCACCACGCTATAGCCACCTTTAACCTTTGAGGGAGTTCCAGAAGCGCATTGTCGATACATTGGAATATCCATTGACCCGGTCTTGGGGCATTGGGTTCAGCCGTCCTCAAAATGACACCCTGGTTATCCACAAAAATCAATAGACGGTGATAGCGCGTTGTGACACACATCTCCTTGGCCAAACCAACAGCCGCTAGGATCCCCACCGCCTCACTTTCGTGATTGGATACGACCGCTTTATTGCCAATGAAGTATGAACTGAAGGTGTTGGAAGCCGGGCAAATGGCCGCCCCAGCACCCCCTTTTTCGGGGTGATATGACCCATCACTGAAGATTAAGAGCGCCCCCGGGTCTGAGGATAGAATTGAAACGTAAGACTTAACAGAATGTATAGCACCCTCTTTTGACATTCCCATATTCTCGTAATCCAAGTTTCGTGATGGTCGAGATCCAAATTCAAAGTTGAGATGAATGAGTTCTGGATCCATGTCCACAGCCCGAGATACAGCTTTGGTGGCCAAACCAATCCGTGCTGCATCCGCCAGCCTAAGTGAAGAGCTTGCCCTGCTGGAAAGTATGAAAGATCGGACAACATTGTTAAGTTTTACTGTCACTATTTTCCTGTAATAAAAGGAAAAGCTTGATCTTATGGCCTCTGTCAGAAATGGTTGCACCCCCAATCTGTTACGGATGAAAGTGCTGGCTGTCGATTTGAAGACCCCGAGGGAGTAAATTCCTGCAATTCTGTCCACCTTTTCAGCCAGTGCATTGACTTTTCCCCTGTTGGGCTCTGTCGCCCATAGGGCTGCCCCATAAGTTATTCTGGGGAACAAAACACATTTTATCAGCTTGATTCGATCTGCCTCTTTCGTGCCCCAACGAGAATTCCCGAAGATACGTAGCTGGTTGAGTGTCTTTTGCGCCTTTTCCTCGAGGACTCTGAAGTTCTTGTTGAAAAGGAGTTTCCGGTCCAACCAAACACCCAGCCATTTGACTTCCGACATTGGTTTCAGCTGCTGAGTCCCAAATGGGAAGTCCTCCTCCGGAGCTTTCCCCTTTGTCAGCCACAGGAATTGGGCTTTTGCCTGATCGAAAATTGCCCCGTGGGTTTGACCCCAGCGGAGAGATCGACAACCCTCTTCAATTAGCCCTCTTCTGGCTGCGCCTGCCGTTTTTGCTGCAACAAGGTGCACTACATCGTCTACGTAACCCAGTGATACTGTATCCATAGCCGTGGAGAATGATTTTGTCAGCAGGGAGTTATTATATAAGATGTATAGAATCACAGAAAGAGGGGACCCCTGGGGTAGTCCAATTCCAATTGGGAAAGCTGATGATGTGAAGTCGTCTAGTTTGATGGTTGTCGACCTGTCCTTGAGGAAGTCTGCAATTATCAGTACTAAGTATGTTGGACACTTTAGATGGAAAAGATAATTGATAAGTCTGGTTGGGTGAACGGAGGGGTAAGCCGACTTCACATCCAGGAACAACGCGGTCACCACTTTACCCTCCCTCCATTTGGCTTTAACCCAATGTTCAAAAGCAAACAAAGCGTCCTCAGTTCCGGAGCCTTTCCTGCCTCCAAAGTGTCCCTCAGCAAGTACACCGGATTGTTCGGCCCACGCCGTGAGTCGCCGCGCGAGGATCAGTTCGAAAAGCTTGCTCAAGGTGCTCAGCAGCGCAATGGGGCGGTAAGCACCTGGATTGGTGTAGTCCGGTTTACCCTGTTTCCGGATGATGGTGGTGACGGCAACTTTCCAGGAGATCGGAAAAATGCTCTTGATTAGAATGCTATTGTAAAGTTTGGACAGAACAGACGATAGATCTCCGGAAAGGGACTTAAGAAGTTCATTAGCTATCCCGTCAATCCCTGGGGCTTTTTTGGGGCGAATCCGTTGAACAGCCGAGATGACCTCGGCTTTGGACACTGGGGGGTAGCTGCCGAACCTACAACTCAAGTCCAAATTTACATCCGAAAGATCAATAGCTACATTTGTGACTGAAGTGCCCTGGAAGAGAATCTTAGCCTGATGTTGTTTGTCATGGACTAATTTGCCATCGTTCCCCTTGAGGGGGCATTCTGACTCAACAGCCCGCAAGCTTTTTGCCTGAAGTTGATATGACAAGATGGGAGTGCAAAAGAATTGGAACATGGCACTACCTATGTATCTATGTACCCCAGGTATCTCAAAATGTTTGGGTTTATAGAGGCTTGAGATGCCAGCACGTGACGAGATCAAAGCCGCCATACAGTGCCATAAGAATTAGGCTTGCGCATGTCGTCACAGGTCGTCACCAGCCCGACACAATTGTTTCGGGATTTGTACATATTCACAGGTTCATCCACACACATAAGCTGCGTAGAAGTTTACCGGCACGGTTTCCAGCACTCATTTAGAAGCTTGGATCAGGTGGCCAGCTGATGGAGATGACGTCCCCTTAAACGAGGAGATATCTATTATAATCAAGTCATGGGGCTTACACATCGAGGCATTTACGCCGGTAATTGTAGAAGTCTTTGTCGTATATGTGAGCATACTAGATCATCAGGAGTTGAATTTTGGTCCCTAGATCGCACCCTGAGCTCCAGCGGTCATTTGGGCTCGACTTCGGTTGAGCTTCGATGGCTGCACACAAATGCTTGAGCATACTGCTAGGGTGGGATTCGACCTGGGTATCTGGAAAATCGCGAAGTGGTGCGTTGGGAATTTGCAGTGAATGAGAATTAAGGTGAGAATGTGGTGAAGATGGATGGGATTGGAGCGCAGGACAAGTTGGTTCTCCTGCCCTTCGTGCTGGTTACTTTACCAGGACCTTTCCTGATCGAATGACGGCGATTGTTGCTTATGACTGCTGGTCGAGTTCAGCATACAAGTTTAGAGTTTAATACACCTATACAAACAGTCATCCCAGCGTGTCATGAGGGGTCAAAATAGCAACTATATCTTTCCACTTCATCAGCTGCCCTTCTGTAGGAATTTGGGGATCGAGATGGTTTCAGTTCCATCATTTCAATTCGGTTGCCAGTGGAGGGAAAGGCTAAGGCCATTACGTCAATCGTGGCTCTCGGTCGTGCGATACACTGGTGAGGCTTAATTGGGTCTGTATATCCATAGTATCGATATACCTCCACAGTCTGGTGATTGTGGGGGTGGCGGTTGTATGGATATATAGGGGGTCTAAGTCCATGGCCGTGTCTGTATTTTCTGTGTGGAGTAAAACTCAACCGTTCTGGGGTCGACCGCATGAGCCGGCATACATACAGCCGATACTCTCATGGCTGCAGCAGTACTACTCTTTGTATCAGCTGATGCTCTATTTTTCCTGACTAAGCACATCGCTCTCTTCAGTTTTCCTTCAGCTTAAGAACTCGAGCAGTTGACCATCCTGCCCTCCTCCCTCTTCCCCCAAGATATATTATATCTAGATATCCACCTCTTCATTACCAGTTGGTTTGCTCTCTATTGCATCTTGCGATTCAGTCATCCGTTGAGCATACCCTATCAGACGCCTTTAGGATAGATAACTTGTTGGTGGGGATTGTCTGCTGAATCATAAAGATCTTCAGACACTTAAGCTGGAAACAAGCGTAAAAAACACTAACAAACTCGCACATCAACCTACCGGCCACAACCCTTCTCCGAGTCACTGCAATTCAAACCTTCTTCCTCGTTCTGCTGTTTTCTCCTATAGGCTATGGATCGTCCTAAAAACCTCCGTCCATTACCCCAGGATATTATCAGGTTAGTCGAAATCGAAAGAGCTTCGTAATCAGTCATCATACGTAACGATCATCATTATATGGCACCTTGCTGATCGCTCAAGCTACCCCGCTTGACCTTGATTCGCATCCTGTCCAGACTAATCTGCCAGCACATCCTACTGGATGCCGATCCCTCCCAACCTCACCTCTGGTTAGATCCATACATTCGAACCATCACCCCCCAAGACGCTCAAAATAATCTCAGGACTATCACCTTGGAACCCACTCCCATCGTCCAAGCCCAGCAAACTCTCAAATCTCTCTGTCTCGTCTCGCACCAATGGAATTCAGAAGCCAGAAAGGCACTCTGGTCTTCTGGGATCCAATTCGGTTTACCCCGTTCCTTTGGTAATTCGCATTTTATAGTTTCTATCCTCCAATTACCTGCTTGGGTTGGATGTTGTCTGGTCTCGCCTTTTTTTTAAAAAAGGAAAAAAAAAAAACAGGGGGAACATGAAAAAACCGACTCTGACAATGATCTTTCTCTTTCTCAGAAACCGTGGTTAAATTGGTCGATCCCATTGGATCCTTCTTTGATGGTGGTGTTGAGCCAACCTGGCTCATCTCACCACCTCCGAGTCGACAATCAAGTCCCAAGAGAACATTTTGCACAAGTGAAAACTTGGTTTCCGTTTCTTCCGGCCGACACGCTGCCTCCGATCCTGATCAAACTAGCTACCGTAGATCATTTTCTGGTGGCCGTCGTTCCGTCAGTCTTAAGCGTCAAGGGGGAAACTACATCTTGCAACCTCATTCGGACAGGGAATGCCCGCATTCACCGCTCCAGCCGACTCACCAATCTACTTCTCTGAGTCCTGTGTGGAGTGATGAACACCGACGTGCATTTGAGCGCAGCATCAGTCCTTTGCGTGGTAGGATTGCCGTGCAGGCACTCTCCCAGGCCTTCAGGCGCACATCCGTATCCCCCAGCGCCTCTCCTACTTCACTCGTCACACTCGGCAAACGTGACGAAGACCTCAAAGAAGAAGATGAGACTGAGGATGATGAATACATATTCGATCACCACATCGACGATTTGTTTAACCCTGCTCCTTACATTACATCGGTATCTTTCTCCAAATATCGCTCTCACGGGATGAGGCGAAGCGTGGCTGAAGGTCACCAAATCCGGTTTGTCACGCCGGAACGACTGTGTAGGCTGTTAAGATCTACACGCTCTAGATACAGCGGTTTATCTGAAAAGGATCACGATGAGATCACGGGATCAAATCGAGCTTCCGAGGGTCATTTGCTCTTGCGTAAGGGGAAATTGGAAGCGGTGGGCTTTAGCGAGTACATGGATAGCGCGATAACTAAAGGCGTACTTGATGAAATTTTACTTCGTGGTGGAGTTGAGGTGGAGTACCAGGTAAACAATCCAAATTGCCCTTCAGCAAAAGACGATTCCTTCACAGAAGAAAATCATGATCGAGGTCGCGCCCGTTCTCGTAAGGAGCTATACACCGCCTCCCATTGCGCCAGTCCGCATCATACTTTACCGGCTCCAGTCGAAGAAGTCTTTCAAGGTTACGCTTCTATGCATCCAACGATCACCCCATTCCCCATCTCATTTGACACAGATTCATCTTGTTCATTTAGAATCGAAAGACGATTAGAATCAAGCTTGCTCAGTGAAACTCCAGTCAAGGCTCTAGACCTCTGCGGATGCATTTCCAGCAAATTTCGATCTTCTTTAAAGGACTTTATCATTGACCATGCCCTTTCCTCACCATACCCATCTGCTCGAACAGATTCAACTCCAATCAGCCTGATGAATACACCTAACGGGCTACTCAGATGGACGAGATTTCCCTTCCTGACCAGATTAGGCTTGAGTAGAGTTATGATTCTTGACGATCTCGAACTGTCAGATTTTCTCTCTGGTTTCGTCAATTTACTCGATCTTGATCTCAGTCATACCAGGGCTGGAAAAAATGTTCTGCATACTCTTCAGTTAATCAAAAAGAGTGACCGAAGCAGATCCGAATCGGTGATTCTTCGACCAAGTTTCAGGAGTTTAAACTTAGCAAAATGTAGGGGTCTGACCAAAGAAAACTTGGTCGGATTCTTATGCGGGAACCAAGATGACGGTGGCGCCAGCGATGCTGACCAGTGGGAAGATCCTATGGAATCGATCGGTGGATTAGAAGAGTTATCATTGCACGGAGACTTGACACAGCCGACCCCTCTTGATGCGGAAGCGCTCGACAAAATCTTCTCAAGTTGTCCAGCCCTGCTTTCTGGGAGATTGACGACGCTGGATTTTTCATCCGTCCTAATCGATGACAGCGAGTTTGATCTGAAGCGAAAGATGCCTGTCCAACCACGACTGTTGCAATTAGGGCTCGGATCATGTCCTCACATAAGTTTGGAAACAATCAGATTTTTACTCAAGGAGAAAATGAATTCTGTCGAGATCTTGGATATTTCTTCTAGTTGCCTATCCGCTAGACAAAGAGAAACTCGATTTGGACAAACCACTTGCGCTATATCAACCGCCAAACTACATACCGAGCTCATTAGTCCAGTCACTCGCTTGGGACCAGGAGGTAGGAGGGTAAGCAATCTCCGAGTTATCGAACTCGACGATGCTAGCTTGCAGGCTATAAGGGGCGGAGCCGGGGGATGGAAAGCAGCGTTTGGAAAAGGCCAAAGAGGATGGTTAGCTCAATCTCACTTGTTCACACGACTGCACTTTTCTTTGATGAAAGCGGCTTGATTACACGTCCAAAAGGAACTAATCGACCACTGATTTTCCTCCGTGATATATTTAGGTATGTAGATCTATCCGTGGCCGTGATAATCGTAAGAGAGGCTTCGACTCAAGACCAATCGCCGGCGCATCCTCGCCGCCAAATCATCAGCCGTGCTTCTTTGAAAGACAACTTGAACTCTGACAGTCTGAATTCCATGGAGTCACTTACCGAAGAGGCACAAGTCGGGCGCCTGGAAGACAGTCTAGATGCACTCAAAAACTCAGATGAAACGATCAGACACACGGAAATCGGTTGGATGAGCAGAAAAACTGAAAGTCAGTCATCTGAATCTTTACTCCTATTATTTCTTTCCAATTGTATTCATGTTTGCAACACCTAAATCAATTTTACTTCCTGCTTCACCCATCACAGTTCTCCATGGTTCCGGACTCTTAGGTCGACAGGAAGGATTATACGGTTTCCATGCATTTGCTTCCAATTAGAACATCTACAAACAAAAAAACAAAACCCAAAAACTTGGGAAATTTTGAAAAAAATAAATAAAACTCTTTTCTTTTGTAACTTTCTTTGCTCGCTTTCCTTTCTTTTGGATGTGCTGTGTTATGTGATCGACCTTTAAATATTTCTGCTTCGTTGTTGTACGCTTTCTGTCTTGTGTTATTGGGTTATAACGTAATTGCTTTCTTTTTGCCGGTTCTTCAACTGTCTACAATAGCCTTTACCTCTTCCTTTTTCTAGTAGAGAAGCCTCTTTTAGAGAGAGAGAGCTCCACAGGGATTCTTAGATTAGCATGTTTCTACTCCATGCCAAGAGTGCTGATGTATACTTTTAGCTGAAAGGGTCCTGCTGTGATTGGTAATTTTACAAAAGGTCCACACAAAAGATCTTCATTCACAACAGTTCTAGATAAAAATCGCTTTCGTAATCCCCACTTGATGAATATTGTACAAAGTGATTCTCTCCTGATGTCCCACTTATGTATGTAGTATCATCCACTGATGAGTTGTCAATCCAAAAACCAACCCTGTTATTCTACATGAGCAATTTAACACCAGTCCCTTCATGATCATTTCCAAATTTCTGATCCAAGAGACCTCATTCAGACTCAGTTCATTCTGTTCCTAGGCCATCTTTTGCACATGGTCTAGCACTCAGGAGGATTACATAGGCCCTTTTTCATCTGTTTTTTTTGGCTTTCCTTTGCCTCCATCTTGATCATCTTGCCTAGACCAGTAATTGGTTTATGACAAGAAGGAGAGATCTTGTCAAGTAGTGCAATCATATCTTAAGTAATAAGAAAACCCCAAAAAATCAAGATCAAGTCTTGGTTTTCACCATCAGGTGAAAGAAGGATTATTATGACTAGAATAGTAGGGTTCCTTGGTGTGGTTTAGAAAACTTTGGATTATTTGAAGTGAGTGTGTTGTATGGATTA